CTGTCTAAAAAAAAAGGAGGGGAAAAAAAGAAAAAAAAAAGAATGTCCTCCTGCCTCCTGCTTTTTAAGGTCCTTCTGAGCAGGCTCCCAGGGTCCTCTCATCCTCGAATCTGTTTCACAGCACTTAAAGCTGTGCTGGTTTAGTTGCTAGCTCACGTGTTTGTTTCCCTGTTAAGCTAAACTCCACTAGGGCAGTGACCACGCCTGATCCCCAACTGTGTCCCCAGCACAGCACCATACCTACGAGGCGATCAACACATTTGTTTAATGAATGGGAGAATCACTCCTCAAAAGGAAGAAAATTGTGTCAAGAAAGTAGCTGGCAGAGCCAGGATGTAAGTCCGAAGACTCCTGGACTTCGAAGTTTATCCCGTTTTCTCCGCGGTCGGTTACTGTCACTCAAACCTCTGGCCCCGACCCTCTTAATTATGTCCCTTTCGACTCCGCGCCGGTCAGTCTCCACCCTCCACCCGCGCCACGTCCTTAGCGCTCGCCTTCTAAAGGTCTCGTTCCTGTCAGTCTGTCATTTCAAGCTCTGCCCTCACCCTGCCCACTTTCCACGCCCCGTCCCCTCTGGGCCCCACCCCTCTCCGAATACAATACCTTCTAGCCCGCCTCTGTCACTCATTCTGCAGATCCCGCCCCCTCCCTCCCACGCCCCGCCTTTTCCGGGCCTGCGCCTCTCACTTCCTGCTGAGGCCTTGCCCTTTTCTCACCCGGGTCTGGAGTGGCCCCCGCTCCAGAAGCGCACAGCCGCTGGTTGGGGCATCCCTGACATGAAGTCCCTCTGCCCGCCTGGGCGCTGTCGGCCCCTGGACAGTCTGCGCAGAGACAAGACCACAGTTAGAGCAGCTCGCTACACTTTCGCCCCGCCACCCACGCCCCCTCCGCGAGCTCACCGTGAGGCACCTCCTCCATTCTGTCGCCTTTGCCGCCTTCGTGGTCACCGGAACCCGCTGTCGTGCATTTCCGCCTTGTGGGCACAATCTGATCCTCTGGCCGCGCTAAATAAGTCTAGGAAAGAGGGGGCTGTGCGCACGCGCGAACCGTGGGCCGAGAGACTGAGACTGACGTCTGTTCCTCTTCAGAGATTTCCTATCATAAATATTTCGGCAGTGCATCTCCTAAGAACAAAGGCATCCTTTATGACCTCAGTGCCGTTTTCGTACCCAAGAGATTTTATATCGATGCAGTACTAGCCAATGCAGTATTAGCCAATAGACAGTTTATATTCCAATTTCAGTAGTTAGAAACCCTCCCCTCCTGGATTCACTCACTGCCTGGAGTTACCTCTCTTCCGTCTCCTTTAATTCAGATCAGTCCTTCCTTTTTAGGGGGAGTCTCATCACATTGATAATTTTGACGGGTCCAGACCAGTTGTCCTATAGAATACCCCATATTCTCGATTTGTCTAATCCTTCCCTCCCTCTTGCCCCGTAATTAGATTCAGGTTAGTATTTATTTTTATTTTTTTTCCTGCAGAACACACTTAGATAATGTCAATTTGTGTCGTTTTTGGTAATGTGAAGCTTGAT